TGTGTGTGTGTGTGTGTGTGTGTGTGTGTGTGTGTGTGTGTGTGTTGTAATTCCCAGGTTGTATATGAAAGGACCTTTTGAGAATTTCTGATCAATTTATGAAATCTGAACAATTCAATTTATTAATGAATGCAATCAGAAATGTAGCACTCATTAAATTAGCAATCAACTTAGTCAATAGAGTAGCTTTTTCAACACATCTGTAACAAGCATTAATGATAATTAAGCTTGAATTGCACATAAGGCTAGAAGTATTCTTCCTCTATGAGTGTAAACGTATTTCCAATATATTTCTAGTGGGTTCTTTTAAGACATTACATTCAAAATGGTCTTGTCATTTTGCTTTGAAGATAGACTGGAAAAAAATCTTTGAAAATCTCAGAAAACTTAGAAAATCTTTCCAAGTTTCTTAGTGGAGGTTTGTGAAAACTCTTTTTAAAAATTCAGTCTCTGGCTCACCATTTGCAAACACCAAGTTGTCAATATTCATTACTAGCTAGTTTTATTATTTACTTTTTTTGAGAGAGAGATCATGGTATTGGGTGTATGTGCTCACCAGAGAGAGAGAGAGAGAGAGAGAGAGACAGAGAGAGGAAGGGGGAACCCCCCAACCCCCAGCAGGAGCAATGACTGCACTATAATCCCTTCTCCATGCACCTGGAGTGAGTTTCAAGCTACTGGGTCCAGGAATCAAACCATGGTCGGCCATGTGGGAGTCCAGCATCTTAAACACTACGCCACCTGCTGGCCCCTCATTCTTTACTTTTTGAATGTAATGGTTCTGAGTGTGTTCTCATATGGAGCTCATTGCATGCCCGTCAGTTCTGTAAGTAAAGTGTGTTTAGGCCTCACAACAACCGTAATCACTGCGTGATTCTTAAAGTTCTGGAAGGCTGGAATTTCTACAAAGTATATGAACACTCCCATCTAGCATCTATTTCAGGAAAGTTGAAGAGAATGAAGCTGTATGTTTTATGCTTTAATTCAAATGTATGGGTATACCTTTGGGGGAACATTCATCCAGTACAAAGGCCAGTGTGTGCCTTCCTACATGAAGAACTCCAACGTCGAACAGAGCACGGTACTGCACTGCAGCCATAGCTCTGCGTTCTGACGCTGGCTCTGCTCCAACCCTGGTGGCGCTTTAGTTTCTGAGTGTTCCTTGCATTTTTCTCGTTCAGCTTGTAGATGATGATCATGTCTTTAAAAAAATGTTTAAAGTTGATTAAACACTTTATAAAAGCAAGAATTTTCTTATTTAATTCTTTTTTTGGGCCACTTTTTGTTAGTGGTTGGGGAGGTTTTGTTTTTGCTTGTCCTATTGTTGATTGTATGACACTTGAACCCATTGGACTGCAAAGATTATGTGTTGATGTCATCAAATTTGTTGTAAATTAGTATTTATAAGAGGCCTAAATTGATCCGAAATAGATGCTCTTGCCAAGACTGCCAGTCTTGAATTGGTTGAGTTGGTGTGAAAATGTCAGTTGGTTTACCGGCACTTCTGCCAAACACAAAAGCCAGTTATTGGTGAACAAGAGTATCTCCAACAGCGTTTTCTCACAAAAGCCAATGATGCAAGGAAACCGAAACAAAGGAGTTCAATGCCGAATGACTTTAGAAATAACAGCTTACCTAGTTATTCCCCATTTATTTCTAAAATACTCCACGTAGTCATTGAAGCACTTGACTGTGCTTTGCGTTCAGTGTCGTGCGTCCAGAAGTCGGAGGTCTGAGTAGAAAGATGTGACAGAACAGAGCTGCCCAGCTTTCGGCTTCACGACTTCCGCCGTGTGACCCACGGGGTCTTGGTTGACGGGTCTGTGCCATGCTTCGCTTTCAGTTTGCCAGTATCTTTTCTTGAGCAGATGCAGTCAGGATTGGGTGTGCTCCAGACCAAGGAATGTGACCTTTCGTGAATACCCCTGTTAGAGGTGGTATGCATAGAAAATTTAAAAAGCATCATATATTTTTTTTACTAAATTAGAAGAGAAAAAAAGGAATGAAATAAAATGTTTTCCCTTGCTACAAATTAATAATAAAATTACAGGTACAGAGAATGCACAATGAAGCTCCAGTACTAAACTTTGAATATTCACATTAGGTGAAATTTGAAATTTTCTGGGTGTAAGTTCACTTCTATGGTAGGTTTTGTGGTTTGAGAAAAAAATTAAGGAGCTAATAAAATTTGTAATTTGTGACCTTGTTGTAATTGAGAAAAGCCACTAGTTTTTACACATGTAAGACAGTATGATCTTTATTTTATTTGTCATTTCATTTGCTGTGTAAAATTTTCTTAATGAATCACATGCAAATTAATGCTAAACAACATCATTTTATACTTATTAAAATTAATTTAAATATATTTGATCTGAAAATTGTGTTTCTTATACTCTGATCATCACATGTTTGCCTAAAAGAATTGAATTTATTGTAAATGTAGCTTTTTATATATTGGGATATAACATGATATTTTGTAAGAGTGGTTTTAAATGTCACTAGTCTCTTAAACTTCTTTTTAAAATAAAAAGTTTTAAGGTGACAGGAAAAGTATGAGCCCAGCCTGAAATTTTTAGACTCATGAACTGTAATGTTGATCTCTTTAACATTTAAAGAAGGGGGTGCCATGAGAAAATACAGGTTCACCTAGAAAATTAGCTGCCTTCTATCATAAAAAGTGTCGCATTTTAATGAACTTATTAAGTAAGTAAGAATTTTCTTTCTTTAGCTAGACTCAAGATCAACATTCTATGAGTAAACCCAGAGAGCTTGCAGGTTTCTTGTTGCATCTGTTTTCTTAATGCTGTATTATTTAATGAACTCTACTTTTGATTATATTGCTATTATTGCTAATATCACTGAAATAAAATATTTTTCAATGTCAAAAGGTATAAAAACACAGTGATTTTTACCAACATAAATTTCCCACATGATATTTCTCAGTGCTAGTGACGTTTTACCTGAGAAGATTTTAAAAAACACTGAGCAGATCAAAAGCTTGAGTAAGATTTTTTCAAATGCTCCCTAAGCAATTCTACTCTATAGCTATGTTTGCGTACGTGTTTTCATTTCTTAAACCTCTTCACAGACTCTTTGTAGTCTTTCTTTTGTGGAGATCTCTGTTGGTTGGTTTATGGCTTTTACTTTAGTCTATATTATTAAAGAAAATAAAAGAATATTCTAAGTCAGTGTTCACATATATAGTAAATTTAAGTGACAATATAGACTTATTATGACTCAGTATTCATCCTTGGAATTTTTTATTTAACCAATTAATCAAAATTCCTATTTTAGGCTTTCTACCCCGTAGACCTAGAATGAATTAAATCAGTGTGATCTTACTCATGTGAGAGTAAATATACAGGTAGGTGTTACACAGAGGCACACAAACGTGCACGTGTGTGTGGCGTTATGGGTTATCTTTCCATGTCATCCTCTGCAGCTTCTTTTAAATCAAATACTTTAAAAGTTACTTACAGTGGCACGTGTGCGTGCGTGCCCAAGATCCCGAGAGGAGAATGGAGGAGAATGGAGGAGAAGGGATTGCGATGTGGCCATCCCCCCTGGGGGGTGATTTCTCGCTTTCTGTCTCTCTGTCTCTCTCGGTCTGTCTGGCGAGCGCACGCGCCCTATAGCGAAAACCTCTCCAAAAAAAAAGTTACTTACAGTAACATGTCTTGGCTAGGATTTGCCTGGGGAAAACAATATAATCAGTTTCAATAGGGACGTAACTAGGAAGAACTCCAGCTTTACGTCTCAGTAACATTCAACCCAGCAGAATGCTAAATATACAGCAGGATTCAAGAAAGTCATGATGCATTTTTGCATAGAGAAATATACCATGACTTTTTTAATGACTCAGTAGTATCCTTAGTAGCTGTCAATGTATGGTCTAAAGTCTTTTTGTGTAGTTAGGAGTTTTGTCTTACTTTAAAATGTAAAGTAAAAAAAAAAAAAAAAAAAAAATTGTTGTCTCGGTCTGTCTGGCGAGCGCACGCGCCCTATAGCGAAAACCTCTCCAAAAAAAAAGTTACTTACAGTAACATGTCTTGGCTAGGATTTGCCTGGGGAAAACAATATAATCAGTTTCAATAGGGACGTAACTAGGAAGAACTCCAGCTTTACGTCTCAGTAACATTCAACCCAGCAGAATGCTAAATATACAGCAGGATTCAAGAAAGTCATGATGCATTTTTGCATAGAGAAATATACCATGACTTTTTTAATGACTCAGTAGTATCCTTAGTAGCTGTCAATGTATGGTCTAAAGTCTTTTTGTGTAGTTAGGAGTTTTGTCTTACTTTAAAATGTAAAGTAAAAAAAAAAAAAAAAAAAAAATTGCTGTTAAAGTCATGACCCTAATAATAATGATGACCACGAAGGTGATTGGATTGCCAACTCGAGAAGGTTTTATATCCTCTGACTTGTCATAAATTATTATTTTTTTTTAGAGAGAGAGATTTTTGCTATAGGATGTGTGCGTTTGCCTGAGAAAGAGCCATAGAAAGCAAGAAATCACCGCCCCCCCACACGGGGGATGGTCATGCCACAATCCCTTCTCCATTTCTCCTCTTGGGATTTTGGGAACACCTGCACATGCTCCTGGCATGAGTTTGAAGCCACTAGGTCCAGGACTCCAACAGTGGTTGGCCATGTGGGAGCCCAGCTCTATGTGGGAGCTCATTACACCATTTGCTGCCCCCCCCCCA